GCCCAGGAGAGAGTAGCATCTTAGCTGAAAGAATGTGCAGGAGTGATAGCCCACTACTGAAGCTGGAGCAGGAAGAGTTATAGCATCTACTGAAGCTGTAGCGGGAGAGAGTAGCATCTACTGAAGCTGTAACAGGAGAGAGTAGCATCTACTGAAGCTGTAGCGGGAGACAGTAGCATCTACTGAAGCTGTAGCAGGAGAGAGTAGCATCTACTGAAGCTGTAGCAGGAGTGAGTAGCATCTACTGAAGCTGTAGCAGGAGAGAGTATAGCATCTACTGAAGCTGTAGCAGGAGAGAGTAGCATCTACTGAAGCTGTAGCAGGAGAGAGTAGCATCTACTGAAGCTGTAGCGGGAGAGAGTAGCATCTACTGAAGCTGTAGCAGGAGAGAGTAGCATCTACTGGGGTTGACTGCACCCAGGGTATTATTAGCGCAATATACTTGACCCGTGTTATCAGGGGCCCTCGGGGATTTGGCTGGCTAACGACATTGGTGAGAGTATGGAGGAGAGCATACTTGTGATTTGGAACGATAATTGGATAATTGATACTAGTACTAAGTAATTCACGTATTTCATTATCGGAAACGCGCTTGGTTATGCGCGGGATATTCGTAGCTCACTTGATACAAGTCGCTGAGAGAGAAGGCAGCGGTCATTCACCGCAGAACAATTTACTACGAAGTTAAAATGAGGCAAAATATACGTAGCATCGGAAAGTTTAGGGTGGGGGGCTACAATACAATGGTGCCCGGCGCCTCTAAGAAATCCTGTTTTCTCGGCTGCGTGAGAGAGTGACTGGTATTATTCGATATTGCAACGCTCACTGAGATTTTCCTTTCCTCCTAGGAATAGGCGCTCGAATATGCTCGGGAAATGATTTTTCGTCGCAATTTTCAGGCAAGATTTGCGAAGTAAAGAACGAATATCTTATACACGCTATATATACGCTCGTTATAAACGCTTTCACAGCGTGATTGCCTCATTCAAGAACACACACAACGTGCTTCTTGAAGAGGTAAAACAGAATTAGTTTCTCGATATTTGAACATTATTCTACCTACACATATAAATGTATATACTATTATGTGAAACGTTTCCATTTACCATTTCATAGTAGTATTTGTGGCTTTTGATAGCAGTCATTATTTGCCAACGTTATGTTACTGGGAAAGTCATTGCCTTGCAGTTGGCGACGAAAATTATTTGCCGACTGGATGACGGACATTGACATTGTCGATTTAGTTTCGCCGTTGTACTTCATATATATGACTGGGAGATTTCTGTGCTTCACTCTCTGTTGTATTCACCCTATATGATGTGTAGCCAGGTTCCATCTCTCCCAGCTCCTGCGTCCTAGATGCTCGTGTTTGTTCTCGGAATTATCTCTGTAATCGGGAGCAGAAACTAAAATTCTCCATTATCGGTGTTTGCACGCTTAGCTTTTCGTGTAATGCGTGGTGCTGTCAACTCCTCTTTAATGTCGCTATTCAAATCAAATCACATTTTTCTCCCGGCTTTGTCTGTACATGGTCGATATCAGACACAGCGAATCAGTTCACTGTCTAGCCAGCATGCTCTGCTAGCATCTATGACAAATACGACATACGCATATATACGCTCTCCTATGACACTATTTATCGTAGGAAGATTCTTCCTATGACAAATATTGGCGAGTCAACTTCGTTCCGCTTTACAGCTGAAATTCACTGCTTGCATGCGTTCATAATAGCGCTCGTAAACTCCTATGATACGCACAACACATACAACAATATTTGTCATAGGAAGAATCTTCCTATGACAAATAGTGTCATAGGAGAACATATATGCGTATGTCGTATTTGTCATGGCAGATGCTAGCAGAACAGGCTGATCTAGCGGTTGAAGAGGAACGTCGCTCCAAGTCGATTCTAGTTGTTGCCGCGCGTTCATCTTCTGCATTTAGTATTCATGACTGTAACAGCCCGCTAACAACGTTTAGTTAGTGACCAGTTACTGATCGATCGTCATGTGCGCGTGAGTAGTGGATGATAGGATAACCCAGAAACGAGAGAAACTCTTGCACAATAGCACTACTACATTGTTCAGTAATAAGAATAGCATGCGATGAAAAGTATCGTTGCTATATAACATATATATATATATATATATATATATATATAATATATATATATATATACTATAATATACTATATATAGAGAGAGAGAGAGAGAGAGAGGATGTGAGAGAGAGAGAGACGAGAGAGAGAGAGAGAGAGAGATGAGAGAGAGAGAGACGAGCAGCAGAGATTGAGATGAGAGAGAGATAGAGAGCAGAGAGCAGAGAGAGAGAGAGAGAGAGAGAGAGAGAGAGGAGTAGAGAGAGAGAGAGAGAGAGAGACGAGAGAGAGAGAGAGAGAGAGAAGAAAACCCACCCAAGCGGGGGGCCGGGGCGCGGGGCGGGCGCGGGCCGGGCCGGCGGCCCGGCGCGCGGCGCGCGGGGGCGCGGGCGGGGCGGCGCC